TAACACTTTTAAAACATCGATAATGCTCACTTTATGTTTATGGAGTTTTTTCAGCTCACCCTTTTCCATTATCAAAGAGGACTGGCACATTTCCTGACATGGTTGGGACCATTTTTGATTTCGGAGTTTCGTGGCTGAAAGGGAATTTGAGGGTCATTTGGCCTGGGGGCCAGTGCTTTCTCAAATTCAGAGGGAAAAGCACTTCTCTGTGATATCTCCCAAAGAAAGAGATTCATGTCCGAGCCAGTTTTAGGGTCCTCATGTCAGGGTATAGCCTTTATTTTGGAGACAGTTTGTCAAATCATTGAAATAACTTCCCCTAAATGTGGTGAGTACCATCTACTTCAGCAAGAAGATTAGTGTCATGATTTAGCATTTTCTCCCCAATTGTCAGTGGCTATTTTGAAAACCCCAAGGGTCATCATAGGAGTTACCCCAATTTCCCCTTATCAAGATTTCTGTAGACTCAGAATAGAGGCCATATTTCTCTGTTTTAGATTATTTTAAAATGCGTGTATATTTTTGAGTGTTCTTTTTAATATGATACTGAAATACATGTTTAACAATGATCTGTTTTTCTTTGTCTTTAATTAAATGTCGATCTCCTATCATCTGGGACCGGGAAGGCCTGATTTTCTAAATGCCCTTGTCCACTGGGCCTTATGCAGATTTTCTACTCACTGTATTACTCTGTGTGTTACTTCTCCCTTGGGGTTGTTATAGCCTAGTATTTACTCAAATTAGAAAATAGGTAAAGATAAATGGTGTTCTTTTGTGCCCGTCCCAGAGTCGCAAAGGAGAAAATTGGATGTGTTGTGATGATGGTGTAGTATCTCAGTAGTGCTGCCCTGGAGACTATATAATCTATGACCTTGACACTTAAAGCAAGACCCATCACTTAGTGGTCTCTAGGAATATAGTCAAGATGTTTTACTTTCCTTGGCCTTGGAGAGGGTATCTGTCTTCTCTTTCTTCAGCAGTAGCAGCAAAACTTGCAGTAAGCATCAACTTTCATCCATTCTGGTAAACCGTCTAGATGGAGGGTCAAGAGAGGCAAACCCCCTGTCCCAGGCCATGGATGCAATGACTTCATGATACTGATTTACTGACAGCCACTTAGTGGACCAGTAACTTCCCCAACCCCAACAGTTAGCCACTGACAATTGGGGAGAAAATGCTAAATCATGACACTAATCTTCTTGCTGAAGTAGATGGTACTCACCACATTTAGGGGAAGTTATTTCAATGATTTGACAAACTGTCTCCAAGACACAACATTATGAGCAAAATCCCCATTAGAATGGGAATGAAATGCCACCTCAGCTTCAAACTATATAGCACATTTTTGAAGGTGTGATTTACAAACCATCCAAAACATTCCTCCTGGGATTTAAAGTTGGCAAGAACCAAAACATCAGCTTTCATCTTCTTTTTTTCTGTTTTCTATTTTGCAGCTCTCCTTTCTCAGTGGTTATTATTGTTTCACCTGCCTTGAAATGGGAAGTGTGAACCCTTTGATAAATAATGGCCTGAAGGATGATCTAGTTTCTCTCCAGCATCTTCCTTTAAGAACCTCAGGATTTTTCTATATAATGCAATTCAGTAAACTTCTCAACCAAAGCTCAAAGTAGAAGGTGCAAAATTGAGAACAATATTTCCTGGTTTTTAAAGCCCTTAAGGCTTAAGTTCCTTAAGTCTTGAAAATTAGCAAGGGAATTTTTCATGATGCACTTATACACACAGAGAGCTCCCCCTTTAGGGAAGGCAAGAAAGGATACTTTTAGGGAACATGAACTCAGTCTCTGAGTTGACATGATGTTTCTTTAAGTGTGCATTAATACTTTTCTGGCTGAGTTGATACAATCATCACAATTCTAGCATTGCACTTCAGCTCTGATTTGGAAAAAGACAGGTCAGTCATCAAAGTTGCAGAGTAATGTAGTTGCTTTTATAATTGTTTACAGAGTTAACATATTATCTGAATGGGTGACCCATGACAGATTTTATAACTCTGACCTCCTTTTTTGAACCTGATGTTTCTGGGCCCCAGCTAAGTCATGCCCACCTGTGACCAGTAATACTTTTCATATGTGCCACACACGTGATAAACAATGGAAACTAATCCCCTAACCCAACATGTTTTTCTGTCTTGTTATAGGATTAAAAATTTCATTCTCTGGGCCTGATTCATTTCTTGCTGATATGGCCCTGTACTAATGCAGACAAGCAAGTTGTCTTATTTAGACTCTTGCAGTCAACTCAAACTTGTCAGTAGGAAAGATGTGACAAGTGCCAAAGATTTTCAAAGGATGGGATGGTTAGAATATATTGTACATTGGGCCTGCAATTGTGAGATTATGCGAGAAGCCTGAAGAAATAGGAAAATGAAGCTTACGACATAGTTCAGGGTATTGAGTTTGGTTGGGGCATGTTGAAAGTGAAATGCTAGTGGAGCCTCAGGTGGCTACATGATCTGCCTGTAGACATAGTGCCAGTACTTAGGGAAGAGAAGTCGTCTGTAGATACCATCATTATCACTGAGAGATGAGGTTGACGAGCTAACAAAGGCAAATGTTAAGGAAAATAAAGGAAGCCTGAGGGCCCAGGTTTGTGCAACAAGAGCTAAGTAAGGAATGGTGAAAGGACTGTGAGTTAGAGGGGTTAAGAAAAGCGCTCTCAGTAGTTCAGAACATATCAGAAAATTCATTGGCACTGAAGGAAGCAAGGGTGGAGAAAGTCTAATAAATACAGAGAATAAGGATGGAGAGTTACTCACAGTGGTATTTCAGGGATGCCTAGTGATTTTCAGAAGATCAAAATCAGTGCATAGCAAGGTTGTGTGGGAAGACAATGGGTTGTAGTAGCAGCATAAGTTCGGTTGAGCTCTGCACAAGAAGTTTCCATCCAGATGGCTCTGTGTGGAACACTTTATGTTCCTAAACTCATATAATCTTGATAGTAACACTGGATGTAAATACCATCTTATCTCCATCTCACAGGTGAGGTCTATGAGGTACCTTCAACACAGGTAGTTAACCAATTGCCCAATCCCAGCACCATATCAGCAGCAAAAGTGGCATTTGGCCCCAGCATCTGTGCTCTTCACCACTGCAGTGCCATATGATGGCATATGTGAAGGTGGACACTTACTTTTATGACATCTAGTGGATGAAGGAGTCACTTCCTAAAAGAAAGTGAACTCAATGTGGCTAACGGCTGGGAGACTGTAGAGGAAATGGTGATAAGTGCCAGGATTGAGGAAAAGCAGAAGGTTGAGATGTGAGGGGGACTTGAAGTTAGAGCAGAATTTGCAATGAGGTGGTCACATGGGTATGCATATTAGCTCATTGGCTTTCCGCCCTCTTTGGCCATGAGCCAAGATGATGATGCCAAGTACAACAGAGAACGATGTTTTGGGACCTGCTGGAAAGAAGACTTGAGGTAGTACTAGGGATCAGGAGGTGCCAACACAAAAAGTAGTTAGGGTTTACACAAGCCAAGTTATAAAACAACCTAAGCACCCAATGACCAAGGACTGGATTAAGAAATTGTGGAATTTATCACAAGGGAATACTACTCAGCTATAAAAAGGCTTAAAAGTTTGCCATATGCAACATTTTGAATAGAATTGAAGGGGATTATGTTAAGCAAATAATTCAGAAGAGGAAAGACAAATACTGGATGATTTCACTCTTGTGGAATATAAAAAAGCAAAACAAAAGGAACAGGCAAAACTAAACCAAAACAAACCCTAGAAATATGACTATAGAATTGAGTTTACCAGATTAGGTGGTAGAGAGTAAGGAGCAAAGGGGGTGATAGCCCATTGGACTGTGTTGAGGACTCTGGGTGCCTTGGTGGTGGGTGTAGTGTGGTGACATACATCTGAAGAGGTGTGAACCTGTACCCCCAAATCCTATAGTGTTGTAAACCATTATTACCTCAATAAAAAAAAGGCAATTAAAAAATTTCTATTGGGATGGGGGGAATAGGGAAACATGTTTATTAAAATTTGTGTCTGAATTATGCAAGTCATCACCAATATAGGCACAATGATATCCTCCTAGATTAGGGGTGGTGTTTATTCAACATAGGGGATGCCATGAGTGGGGCTGTCTTTCCATGAGAATGATGAGAGGCTATGTGGTTAGGATTAAAGGCAGCTCTGAAAAACTTGTGCACTGAAAAACAGTGGCAAGCAAATTCATAAGTTCCATTATTGATCCTTCTTTAATTCACAGGATTAGCTAAATAAGAGCTTTTTCCTTGATTATGAATGCCAGTGAACAAAGCGTATTTTCATTTCTACAGGTACTTTGAATCGCGGAACTCTTCATATATCTCCACCACCAAGCCAGGTTAATCCAACCATTCTATGAGCAACACTTTTGTTTAAGACAGGTGTCTTAATTAAATAAACGAATAATTTTGCAAGTAGAAGTACAAAAGCATAATGATCTAATTTGCTAATTGTTCCACTCTGTTGATTTGCATGTTTGTCAGCAGCAACATGAACAAATAGTTTGTATGTGTGCATCCTACTGTTAAAATAACGAAGCCACTCTTGGGTGTAGCATTTCCTGAAGGGTGTTCATAGGTGCTCCATGGAAAGGACTCTGGTTAAGTAAGGTTGAAAGATGACCCCTGAAGACAATTGAGTTTTGTTTCTGCCGTTGTTCCAGGACCCTTCATCCCGGCTCTCATGTCCATTATGCTGAGCTTCAGTAGCTACATGCAGAGGAGCATTTTTACAGGGATACAGCTCTGGGCACAAGTGTGCTGAGGACATATTTAGGGAAATGCAGTTCAGAGGTGTTTATAAGTTGGCCTCACAATGTCTCCTCACTGGTCACTCCAATCTGCAGTCAGCAAAGAGGCAAGAAAACGAATTAAGGAGGCATCTTCTCTGTGTGTGTCTCTGTCTCTCTCTCACTCCCCACACTACTCTTTGTAGTTGCTTATGGTAAACATGCAAACCTCTTTTCCCCCTTTTATCTCAGGAATATTGACAGGCTGGCTGCCCTTCAGAAGCTATGCCATAACCCTAACTGCTTGCACTCTGGCTGGCTGCACTGGGAGCACACAGGCACTGAGCATCTCTACTCCACAAGAAGGTAAAGTAATTTCAAAGGTCTTGACTTCCACATTTCAGTCATGAATAATAAAATAGGAGAAGAGCTAAATGCTGCAAGGCCATTTGCTGGAAAACCCGGCCTAATTTGATGACAAAGTGCATTGCCAGGCCATAATTGCTCCATTTTTTGGGGGGGTGCGAAAATGAATCAAACTCCATACCCTTTAATGACATGCATCTTTAATAGCTGTAATGCAGATTAATGGGCTTTTTAATTGCTGTTACATTGTTCATGCAAGAGCCTTGTCATTAATATGAAGCATCTGAAAGATTAATGAAAGCTTCCTCATTTTACTATGGCTCAGAAGTAAATCTAGAGACAGTCTGACTAAAAAGAATTGATTGTATGGCACAGTATGAAATTGAGAATCAAACGGTTGATTTCCATGGTCTCTTTTAACTGCTAAACACCAGCACAGGCAACAATTATTCCAGTATGATGGCCCCTCCAAATGCCAATATAGGCCTTATTCATCCCTGCTCCATGCCTTCTGTCTTAGACTCACTTTTGTTGAAGCTGGAACTTACAAACTATCGGCATAAATGACTGTCTCAGAAAGCATTCGAGAGGAAGCCAGTGAGGAGGAGAAGCTGTTCAGCACTCCTCAGTGTAAGGTCTGGTCAGCATCAGACTACACAGCTTCAGGACATCACAGCTTTCAAAACATCTGAAGCTTTGTTGCTTCCTATTTCTCTCACCTGTGTGAAAGAGTTACAGGTTTATTGCACTGTCGGGTGGTCAAGTTGCTTAGGAAATGTAAAAGCTTGATCTTTAGGGGAAAAGAGACAGCCAGTCTCTCCCTTTCTCTCTCTGTCCATCTGTTGGCCTTTCTTGATCCTACCTCTTTCCCTCCCTCTTTTAAATCGTTAGCAGGGCCTCCCTGGTGGCACAGGCAGTTGAGTGCCGCACTGTGAAGCTGTCTGCAGCCTCTGCAGTGCAGGTTCGATCCTGGCTGTACAATGAGAATCCCACATGGCTCAGCAGACCTCTCCTGTCTCGCCAGTGCTCCCCTCAGCAGTGTATTTCGTCAGTCTGCCTGTTCTGTTCCCCGCTCTGTCCTGGTGAATCCTTTCACCCTCCAGCACATCTGGCCTGTACCCTGGTTCTTATATAAAAATAAATAAATCTTTAAAAAAAACAAAACAAAACAAAAGAAATCGTTAGCAGAGGATATGGGAGAACAAGACAGAGGCCCATGTGATATAGCCACAACAGGAAAATGGATTTTGTGAAATCTTTATGGTGACCCTTTACTCTTTGTGTTTTGCACCTGACCCCTCCAGACCCCCTTCACCTGGGCTAAAGCCCTGAAGGCCCATGGCCAGGTTTTCTCAGTGTTCTCTCCATCCTGTCCCATGAAGGTGACACTTTCTCTTTAGCATCATGACTAGAGACATGAGACCATCATGCCCTTTTACGGAGTCTTCCACCAGCCTTGATTTGAGCAGTTGTCATTATGTCTCCTTATTTTCTCTACCTTCCTGTATCCTCTGTTTGGATTTTTCCTGATAGCCTTCAACCCTATTTCACAGCTGTACCTCTAGAAAATTCTAAGGAATTTTCACTCTTCCAAGTCACCATTTCCTCCTCATTATTTGAGGAATCCTCAACTTCTAGGTTTTCCTGAAAGCTGTTGCCAACTTACTGAACAATAGATGTGTTTAGAGTCAATTTTTTAAAACTTTTAGTTTCTATGATTCTAATTCAGTGACCACTACAGAAAATGAACAGCCTTAAGATAGCTTGAACATAATGTGATTTTCATATATAACTAATTTAATTGATTACACATTTTCTGGGAATTTCTATGGTTGCAGATATGTTTGCTATTTTATTCTTTAAAAATAATATTTTATGCTCACCTGAGTCTAGTAATTTTTTTAAACAGATAAAATTGATGTGTAATATTATGTATGCTTAAGGTGTACCCAATGTTGATTTGTTGCATTTTTATATATTTGTATATACTATCATGTCATAGGGGGTTATATATGTACATATATGTGTATATATACACATGTGTGCATATTTATGTGTGTATATTATTTTAAATAATATATATGTGTATATATGTACATATATGTATATATACATGAATACATAGATATATGCATATGTGTATATATGTGTGTGTATGTACATAAATAATGAACCACCCTCACCTGCATTGCCCATCTTCGATAAGATGCTCCTCGAGGACAGGGATTCTCTATTTTATTTCCTTTTCAAGATACATCCCCAAATAGAGATTATGGATTAATAATACTTTTGATGAAGTAACACAAGCATCAGTCAACTGAACCAGGTATAAGTACTTCCCATCCATCATTCATGCAAATTCTCATAAATTCAGGACAGTTATTTAGTACTGTTCCGAAAGCAATTACTGACAAGCTGCCCACGAATCAAGAACACTTCCATGCATGGGATTTCAGGTTGATTCCATGATTTATGGGTTTGGGTTTGAAAAGTTTGAATTAGAAAAGTAAACTAAAATTAGACTCTATAAATCTTGTTCTTTTCTACAGCTCCACAAGAGCTTCTGCCACCAGTAGCCAAATCCCTGCCCAATTTGTTGTTACTCACCTGGAATCCACCCAATAAAGCAAATGGTATTATAACTTGGTACTCTTTATATATGGATGGGAGGCTAATCTATTCAGGCAGTGGAATGAACCAGACAGTCACAGGTAAGTGCTCTATATGTATCAGCAAAGAGTTGTAATCTGTATTAGATTATATATATGTGTATGTGTGTGTATATCAGATAACTATAGGATTATCAGAAAATGTGTTTTTGGTTAAGTTGGCTTCCTTATTGTCTCCTGTTAAATCCCAACAATTATTTTGAAGCCAAAGTTGAAAACAAAGGGAAAGAGCTCATGTTGCCCCCTCTGTCCCATCCCCCACAGCTGTCCTACCATGTGGTTCCTACTGTAGACCTCCCCAATTCTTTCCCAAACCCTTCAGCTAATACACCTTGCTCAGATGCAGTGGGATGTTTGGAAATTTGTCAACACAAAGAGCCTGGCTTGTGACTCCTCTCCCTCCAACTGGTCACAGGGCTGAAGCTGGCCACATGGGATCCCCAGCTGAGCTCACAGTACTTGGTTCACTTCCTGGTAATTTCTAACAAATTCCATGGTCATATGGGATAACCATGAAAATCCTTATGAATGTGGAATAATCTTGAGGCTCAGCCGTGTAAATGAGTGTGGTCTGAATTTTAGACTATTTGAGAAGAAAATGTCTATATGTCCAGGTCCTATTAGAAAGCATAATGACCCTTAGATAAGATGAATTAATGCAAGCCTTATGGAAATAGAGGTCTGCCTTATTTATGAGGTCTGGTGTCTGAATCACGTTTGCATTTGTATAGCGGTTATAGTGGTTATGCTATTGTATGTTATATACTAGATTTGACTATCAGGTAAGACATTAATCAAATATTGATTGATGAGAAAACTGAGGCCTGGAAATATTAAATTCTTCTGAAAGGTCACCAAGTCAGAGTCAGAGGCTGGATTAATTATTTATGCATTCACTCCTTCCCATTAATGCCAGGTACTGAGGGTGTAACAGGGACTCAGCCCGGCCGCCCTTCCTCTCCTGGCTTTGTGAATTTATGGGACACAGAGAAACAGGGGTGTGGGGCCTGGGCTCAGGAGACAGGATTCAACCCATTGCATTCTCCTCATTCTGTGTCCTAGCTAGTCCGGGAAATTTCCAAGGATGAGAATGACTACTTTTACATTTTACTAATCACAGTTGAGCAGGATTCTATAAAATTTATTCTATGAAGTAGATGTTATTATGATCCCCATTGTACAAAAAGGGAAACTGAGGCATAGAAAGGTTAAGTAGCCTCCTCCAGACCAACCAGCCTGTGAGTGGTAGATGTCCCAACTCCAGCATTCTGGCTATGATGTTAAGAATGCAGTTTTTAAAACAAATAATTAAATTCCCTGAGATTTAGCTTCTGAATCTGTAAGTTGGAAATGCCTACAGTTTTCAAGGTTTTAAAGAGAAATAGAGCTCTCTATAAACACCTAGCATGTTCACAGCACTTAATAAAGAGAATAATAATCATTCTTTTATGTAGAAGGCAGGATAGAGACTGTATTTTTAAAAAATTAATTCATCTTAAAAATAAGGCATTATTTTTACAAATTAGACACCACAGATATTCTTTGTGAAAGAAAAATGAAAACACATCATGGTATGAACTTTACACTAGTAAAGTTTATTATAATGATAATAAGTTTATTATAATGATAATAAAAATACAAAAATCACTTTGGGAAACCCAGAGTGTACCATATGCTTCATGAGAAATCACACTGTTTAGATCCAGTGTGGTCATTTCCTGGGAGAAGCCGTCCTGAGTCCTCACATGTGTGAGGTATGCCTTGTATGCTCGTGGATGCTTTTTTTTAGAGATTTATTTATTTATGAATATAAGAACTAGGGAAGCTGGAGTGCATGGGGTGAGAGGATTCACCAGAGAGAGTGGGGAGCAGAACAGGCAGATCTACTGAAATACACTGCTGAGGGGAGCAGCGGATGAGTCAGGAGAGGTCTGCTGTGCCATGTGGGTTGCTCCCTGGCTGGCCAGGATTGAACTCCTGCTGCAGTGGCTGGCAATAGCTTGATAGCACTGTCTTTAACCCCTGTGCCATCAGGGAGGCCCTGCTTATGAAGACTTTGGCCCCGTTTTCTGTCTGCCTTGTCTTGAATCAGGCTGACTGTTTGCTTCTTGGTTTTCTCTGCTAAACTGGACAGAACAGTATCTGCCTCGTTCATTACTGCATCTCCAGGACATGGGACAGGCCGGGCGTATGAGTAATAAACGGAGGAAAGAAGCAGACCTCTCCTGGGAGCAAGGAAAGGAGAGAGCAGAGGGGGCCGGTGGATGGCAGGAGCAGGCTGGGAATGAAAAGCACGAGAAGAGAAGGGAAAGGGAGCCATCAGAGAGAAAGTCAGTCAGGTTCCTTCTGTGTACACAGCGATGCTGAGTGGTCCACAGGGTGGGGGTGTGGCAGATGGCAGTTCTCAGGCTGTGGGGCTGGAACAGTTCCAAGATGTGCACAAGGCCAGATGAGGTGACAAGGTGCAGAGCTAGAAAAAGTGCAATGTGGAGAGGAGAGGAGGCACAGTTCACGTGATCGCTAACACCACAGACAGAGGATGCCAGTTCTCTGTCTGATCATGTGACTGTCATATCAACAGTGAACGTGGCTGATGTTACCACAGTGGATTAATATTCTTAGTACTGATACTAATTAAAAGTACTGTGAATACTAACAGCACTATTAGCACTCATTAGTGCAGTAGGTACCCCCAATACAATGCACAGAAAGTGAGATGTTTTTACAGTGCCCACAATCGCTCTGTAGCTTCTGTCGTGATGTTGTCCATGGTTTTCATCCTCTGGGTAGATTTTTAAAGAATTATATTGCCAGTAGCATTTTTATTTGTTTTTTTCTATAACCTATTTAGCTTCTCATCAGTCATCCATTTCCTGTTTCTCTCATTCCCCTAATGTTGGGACTGTGTTGTTGGCCACTAAAAGGAGAAGAACTAAGATGAGAACATATGATGAGTGCAGAGTTGTCCTTGACTGTTCTAACATCACAGCGAGTAAAGCTGAGGCCTAGAGGGCAAGGAATTCTGGGCAGTCCTGGGAAGAACTGATTCATATCTTGTCTGCCTGGTTCCACGGGCCATGCTTTCATCTCCACACATTCTGCTTATTGGACACATTTTCTCACAGCAGCTCTGAAAGGGAGATGGGAGCCTGAATACAAACCCCAGAGCAGCTGTATTCACCTGCTACAGCTGCTGTGGTCTGGGTGGCTCCACCACAGACAGTTAGAAGTCCAGGATCAAGGTGTTGGCAGGTTTGGCCTCTCCTGACGCCTCTCTCCTTGGCTTGTGGAAAACTGCCTTCTCGCTGTGTCCTCATGTGGTCTATGTTCTCTATACCCCCACCCTGAGGTCCCGCCTTCTTCTTGTGGGGACTCTGTCCTGTTGATTTAGGTACCTCATTTAACCTCATTGTCTCTTTATTTAAAAACCCTCTCTCCACATACAGTCACCCTGGGGTGAAGGCTTCAACATGACAATTCTGGGGAACGCAATTCCATCCATATTCAGGGGCCTAAAGTACATGTATTTTCTGCTATAGCACAGACTGAAGGCCCACTTTTCCAGAGAGTCTCTGGTTATGTCAAAGTTGAATATGATGATCTTTAGCATCTCTTTCATGTTCCTGTGATAACAACAAAACTCAGGTGATTTCTGTCTTCAAAGTTCACCTGTCCTCTGGGAATCACAGGGAAGATGGGCAGGAAAGGGTATCTGCTGTGTGAATTCAGCTGGGCAGAAGCTGAGAGAGGAGGTGCTGGAGCCATTTAGGGGGTGTGAACCACTGCAGGCACTGAGTCCGGCCCTGTGCACCTGTGGTGCTCTTCTTGGTCCTCACGTTTGACTTTGTGGCAGGATTACTGGCCGCCACTTCATGTTGAGCAGTTTGTGGGTGTAGTTAGTGAAGCTGCTGCTTTGGTGAGAGTTTGGGTCTCCAAGGTGCTGAAATGTCAATTCATAGCGAGTCGGAGAAACAGAAAATGCAGACTACTAGATGGGAGAAGAGGTGAATACCTTTTAATCTTAATAGTAATATGTGACTATTGAAAGTAATTTAAAACATGCAGTTTGCTAATCCCTGTAATTCCACCATACAGATGGAAACACTTGATATTTGATGCAATTCCTTCTAAGATTTATTCATTTTAACCAAATAGAACTCTAATGTATAATTTAAATCCTTGTTTGCTCTCTTATTCTGACTATATTCTAACTCATTAAGCATATTTCTAAAAACATTTTGAAACATTTTTAATAATAGCATCATATCCCACCTTATGAACACACAATAATGTATATTAATGCATTTTAGCCCTGGAGTGATTCAGAAGTTTCTCATTGATCTCTGTTTTGACTATGTTCTGATGCCTATTTTGTACATGACTCTTAGCTATATTCTAGAAAGGTAACAGTGAACTCAAAGCCATTGAACTTATTTGGAATATTTGATATACATTTTCACATCGTTCTGCAGGAAAGTTCAGTAGCAGGTAATGTTATATTCTTAAACCTTTGGCAATTTTACCAGTGAAAAATAATGCTTTGGTTTCTTTGCATGTAGTTTAATTACTACTTCCATTGTCTATGTTTGTATGATCATCAGCCATTTATATTTTACTTTTGTTTAACTGACCACAGTCTTGAGGAGGAAAAATTTAATAGGGGTGAGAATAATTTTGAAACTTCCTCCAGAGCTGTTACCTATCCTGTATTTCGTGCTGGCAATCATCTGCACCATTTAAAATTCTTTTCCTTTCTATACTATCAAAGACTTCCTAAATAACTTGGCTTTATCCTCTCGTAAATATTCAAAGTGTCAATACTTTTTCCTCACTCCTACTCCATTTATTTGTAGCTTCCTTTTAAGTTTCTACCTAGAACCAACATTCTCCCATAATGTAACAAATGCGTCTCACTGACAAGGTAGATTCAGGTAAAAGTAAATGCATTTTAATTCAGAAGCCACTTAGCATCTAGGTGGTTTGAGGTTTTCCTTCTTTCTCTTAAATATGAAGCATTAAAAGTCAAAGACATCGCTGCACCT